AAGCATGGAAGTCGTCACCCTCGCCTTCGCCCCTACCCCCCCCTTCCACCTCTCAAACTTCAAAAAAGAAAAAGAAACAACACACAACTAAGCTTGCTTGATTGATTGATTGAGTGAGTGAGTGAGTGATTGAGTGATTGAGTGACCTTCACCATCCTCCTCCTCCTCCTCCTCCTCCTCCTCCTCCTCTTCCTCTTCTCCTTCGTCCTCCCCCTCCTCCTCCTCTTCTCATGCGCCGTCAATCAATCAATCAATCAATCAATCAATCAATCAATCAATCAATCAATCAATCAACCACTCAAATCAATCAATCAATCAATCAATCGATCAATCATTCAATGCAACTACCTGCCAAATTCGGTGGCAGGTAGTTACCTTGGTTGATGAATTGATTGATTGATTGACTGATTGATTAAATGATTGATTTAATGCTATAAAAAAACACAAAAACATGCCCCGTGCCCGCAACCCACATTAAAACGTTGGGCGAGGCGGAGGAGGAGGACACATATGGCTGCGAAGGAGGAGGAGGAAGAAGAGGAGGAGAAAGATATGGTGGCGGCGGAGGAGGAGGACAAAGATATGGCGGCAGTGGAGGAGGAGGAGAGAGATATGGCAGCGGCGGCAGAGAAGGAGAGAGATAAGGCGGCGACGGCATGGGAGGAGAGAGATATGGCGGCGACAGAGGAAGAGGACCAGCAAGAGGATGAGGAGGAGAAGAAATAGGAGGAGGAGGAGGACGACGACGAAGGAGAAGAGAAGGAGGAGGACGAAGGGGAAGAGGACAAGGAGGTGGACGAGGAGGTGGACGAGGAGGAGGACGAGGAGGAGAAGGAGGACGACGACAAAGGAGAAGAGGAGGAGGAGGAGGAGGAGGAGGAGGAGGAGGAGGAGGACGAAGGTCATTATACCGCGGGAGAAGAGGGGGTAAGAGGAGGAGGAAGAAAAGGAGGAGGAGGAGGGGGAGGAGGGGGAGGAGGAGGCTGATAATGAGGCGCTGCCAAAAAAGGGGTGCCACATGACACCTTTTAACGGGACGAGCAGGGCGAGGAGGAGGAGGAACACGAGGAGGAGGAGGAGGACTTGAGGAGGAGAAGGACAAGAAGAGGACGAGGAAGGAGAACATGTGGAAAGGAGAAGGAGGAGGGGGAGAGATATGACTGAGAAGGACGAGGAGGAGGAGAGACTCGAATATGGCGGAGGAGGAGGAAAAGGAAGAAGGACAAAAGGATGAGGAGGTAGGAGAACCGGTGGAAGAGGAGGAGGAAGGGGAGAGATATGGTGGTGAAGGAGGAGGAGGACGAGGGGGAGATAGATATGGCGGAGGAGGAGGAGGAAGAGGAGGAGGAGGAGAAAGAAGAAGGAGAAGAAGAGGAGGAAGGAGGAGGAGGAGGGGGAGGAAGCTGATCATGGTGCGCTGCCAAGATTAAAAAAGGGGTGCCACGTGGCACCCTCTTACCGACGAGCAGGATGAGGAGGAGGAACAAAAGGAGGGGGAGAAGAAAAAAGGAAAAGAAGAGGACACTTACCATCGGCGGCGGAGGAGGAGGACACATATGGCGACAGAGGAGAAGGAAGAGGAGGAGGAAGAGGAGGAGGAGAGAGATATGGCAGCAGTGGAGGAGGAGAGAGATATGGCGGCAGTGGAGGAGGAGGACACATATGGAGGAGGAGGAGGAGGAGGAGGAGGAGGAGGAGGACACATATGGCGGAGGAGAGAGGAGGAGATAGAAATTGCGGCGGTGGCAGAGGAGGAGAGAGATATGGCGCCGACGGAGGAGGAGGAGAGAGATATGGCGGCAGCGGAGGAGGATGAGAGAGATATGGCTGCAGCGGAGTAGGAGGAGGAGGAGGACACATTTGGCAAAGTAGGAGGAGGAGGAGGAAGAGGAGGATGACGAGGAGGGGAAGAGAAGGAGGAGGGGGAGGAGGACACATTTGGAGGAGGAGGAGGAGGAGAAAGAGGAGGAGGAGGAGGAGGAAGAGGAGGACGAGGAGGACGAGGAGGAGGAAGAGGAGGACGAAGAGGAGGAAGAGGAGGAGGAGGAAGAGGAAGAGGAGGAGGAGGAGGAGGTGGAGGAGGAATAGGGGGACGAGGAGAAGGATGAAGGAGAAGAGGAGGACGAGGAGGAGGACAAAAACATTATGCCGCGGGAGGAGGAGGCTGATAATGGTGCGCTGCCAAAAAACGGGTGCTACATGGCACCTTTTTACGGGACGATCAGGACGAGGAGGAGGAACATGAGGAGGAGGAGGAGGACTCGAGGAAGAGAAGGATAAGAAGAGGACGAGGAAGGAGAACGGGTCGAAAGGAGAAGCAGGAGGCGGAGAGATATGGCCGAGAAGGACGAGGAGGAGGAGAGACTCGGATATGGCAGACAAGGAGGAAAAGGAAGAAGAACAAGAGGAGTAGGAGGAAGGATAACCGGTGAAAGAGGAGAAGGAGGAAGGGGAGACATATGGCGGTGTCGGTGCGAATACCCTTACAAGGGTATCCGCCTTGGTTTTTGCAAGCAACAAGTATACCGCGTGAGGCGCGGCTGCGTCTATGGATCACGATTGATTGGATAATTGACTAGGGTAGAGAGTGTGTGGGCGTGCAGACTTACGGCACGCGTGATCTGTTTTCCCTTTGATGATTATGAAAGTCGGCATTGGTCGCCGGCCAGATTTTTATTTCTGATTAAACTAGGATTAAAAAGATTTTGTCCCATTGATTGATGCACTTGTCTGTGACTTGTGCGTAAGTACGAATGACGGCATTGACATCGGCGTGAATTTTCAAAAACGTCTCGGTAGGTCCGTGCGTCGCGCAGTACATGTTTATTTAAGCGTCCTTCAAAGCTAAGATCCAAACTGAGGCCTAGCACTATTGGTTACAGCATCGAACCTTTGCCAGAAAGATTCAGGGATCGAGATTAAGGGGCGACGAGGTAAGGGTACTAGAATAACGTGAAGGGACCGAAGGGTTGAGGGCCCAGCGGGGCTACCCTCCCCTCGGTTTTGCCATCAGCGGCGTCGGAACGGTACGAGCGTTTTAATTTACCTTGTTCGGAGTGTTTTCACGATTCAAAGTTTTCAAATATATGTACTATTTATTGTCTCATTATTATCTATTTATTTTTGTTCCGGCATTCCGTTGACTTGGATGCGACGCCAGATTTAGCGGTCGTCACGGGAGTCGAGGACCTTGAGTACATGCCTCTTCTAACGAACCCGTTTGGATTTTTGCGTGTTCGGGGGGCTGGGGCTGTCTCTTATACACATCTAGATGTGTATAAGAGACAGCGTCACGGGAGTCGAGGACCTTGAGTACATGCCTCTTCTAACGAACCCGTTTGGATTTTTGCGTGTTCGGGGGGGGGGGGGCGGTGAGGGCCCTCGGTCCCACCGTCCGGGAGTACGGGCCGAAGAGTTCGACGTGCACGCAAGCCAGTGAGTAGTTTGAGTGTGTGCATGCCAGTTGGGACGTGAAAGATGGCGGGCCATGCATCGGGGTAGGTCGCGGATTGCAAGGCCCAAACGCACGTAACCCTTCCCCTACTTCGCTCGTCAAAGTTTTCAATTGAGTATTTACTAGTACCACCAAGATTCGTGCCAAGGACCCGCATCACCTAAGATTACGTTCTAGGCACTATCCGCCTCAGGGCTGATTGATCCGACAGACGAGTTGCCAGGGGTTCCCCAACAGATTTCGGCCTCTATGACTATTGCCCCATCGTCTAGGTTGGCCTGCGTGAGGCACAAACCAGGGCCGGAGGCACAGTCATGGGGCTAGCGGTGTTGTCATTGTGCATATGACAGTTGTCAGGCCTGGATATACAGGCGAAGGGTCGTCGGGCTGCTAATAGCCGCCTTCCTCAAAAATTCCTCTTAGGATGGTTGGGGTCGTGAATCACGGACTGGTAGTTATCGAGGAAAACAGGCGCTGCGCAGTTGAACACTATTGGAAAGAGCAGTGTTGGTCGGATGGGCACGCTGTCGTAGGAGAGGCGCTAGTCGAGAGGGAAGGAAGCGACGGGTGCTAGGACAGTAAGTTGAGGTTAGAACGACGGGCGATTGCGGAGAAGGGGGTAGAGGGGCAACGAGGCAAATGAAGAGAGAGAACGAATGAATGAACCTGGGCGGGTTGCGCGCCAAAGTGCATCTAGCAAAGGAGGTGACGAGAGAAGAAGCCGCACACAGTCGAAGGTATAGAGCTCGCTCTTTGTGAGCGACTCCGGGCGGAGCAAAAGACAGTCCCAGGGTTTTTTTACCCCGGGCGAACCTAATGGCAAGGTCAGATCCAGTCGAAGGTTAGTAAAATTAGAGTTAGATAAGAAAGTTAGTGCATGGGGAGACGTCTATGGCTGGAAACGAGGAAGAAAAAGACAAGGGGAAAAGGTGTTGTTCGCTCGTCAGTGGGCGGATTTGAGGGAAGGAAGATGCTGAACAGGGGTTTTTGAATGAGGCGAATCAGATGACGAAGTCAGGTTAGGAGGAAGGGTAGCACATTCAGTGTTACGGTGAGTATAAGCCGCGCTGGGGAGATGGTTCGATGATACGGACGTGTGGGACGAATCAACCTACATTCTAGGAACAGGTTCATTCGACTTTAATGAGGCTTGTTGATAGTGGTAGCCTGAGACGAGCAATGAGGATGGGTACTTACCTGAGTGATCGACGCGTTGTTTAAACCGGCGGCAGAATAGCCACTCTCTATCTCTCTATGATTATAATTGAAAGTGGAGTGTATCCGTCCCTGTTTTAACGGAAGGTTCGTCTAAAATTTTTTTGCCCGAGGTCAATTGTTGGAGTGAGAACAGCGGGCGTAGCGACGGAGGTTCGCGCAGAGAGAGGGAGAGAGAAATGGGCGAGTTGAGATGTTTGTGTTGTACATAGTGCCCGATCCCGTCGGAGTGGCCGTGATGCTCGCCGGTCATGCTCGTGGCACAAGCTGGTGCGACCGCCGCCTGGATAGTCATTGCCTTCTTTGAAAAGGTGTGCTCGTGAGAGGAAGAGCAAATGCAGCGGGTTGTGCTCGTCTGTGTGATCAGCTGGCGCCTTGCCATTCGAGTTAGTTCTCCAAGGATAAAAGTTTGACTGCCAGACGAGGGGACTGCCCGTCTTGGTCGAACAGAACAGCGAGGGACAACATTTGAGGTGGGGGACTGTCTGTTGGCAGGTGTCCGGCCTACCCTGTCAATCGGAATAGAGGAGCGAGCAGACTGCGAAAGGTTGACTGCTGATCGACATGTTGTGAAACCATCAAACAGAAGGAAGTAAGATATGCTGCAAAGTGCAGGTCAGCCTGCGGGCCCGCACACGCATCACCTGACAAGCCAAAGCTGCAAGAAGGTGTACTTGCCTGCTAAGCGGGCGACGAAAGGGCAACACGCGGACTCTTAGCACCAAGGAGGTGCGAACAAGCTGGCGTAGTTACGTGTGTAAGAGAGAGAGAGGGAGGTTCAACAGGTCGTCTAGTTGCATCATATCGTTCCCTGTGCAGAGTTGCGTGTGCACCTGGTCCAGTTCAAACGGAAGATTCCTTCACTAACTGAATGAAGGCAAGTTGCGGGGTTGCAGGATCGCCTGTTGCGTGGCCTATGAACGTTTTGACCATCATTGCGAGACCCTCTGCCGTATGAATATTACAAGGTTCTCCTAGGAGTTCAGTTTGTCCCCCTCCTGTATCTCGAGAGTCTCAAACCCCTCCTTCTGCCCTTCTTACACTAAGTCTATTCCTGATCTGAGAGGAAGGCGGCAGGCGGGAATGCAACCCGTAGGACCGCAAGAAGACTCTGTAGGAAGTCAACCCACCGATTGCGGGAGCTCTATCGAAACTCAGGAGGAGTTCTGGAGGCATGGAACTGAGAGGTAAAGGTTTTGTCTCCTTCTATAAACCCAGTATAACCTCTATCTGTACTTCTTGTTATAGTTGACTGAGTATATTGTGTGCATCCCTACTTTAAATTTTGGTTTGACTTTCAGGACAATTCAAATTTAAGTGAAGGAATGCATGTATAATGTCAATTTCAATTTTATTGTCTGACTAAAAACAGATTGTGGGATTGCATCTGGGGGAAGGATGAGAGGAACGCCGTATTGCTTGGGTTTGACTGGGTCAACCAAAGGCTGGGAGAGTGTCCATAAGATTGGAGGGCCCAGTGCTATGTTTATTTTTGGTTGCCTGAAGGACAAGACAGGTTCCCATAAGATTGGGTGGTCTGGTTGCTTTGACTTGTGAGGGTTGTCTGTGCTTGATTTTCAGGGACCAAGCATTTTTTCATAAGATTGGATGGCTTGGTTGCCTTATTTTCTTTCAGGTTTTCTTATGTTTTATTAATTATGAAGGAGAGTGGGGCATGTTCCATAAGATTGGATGATCCTGACTCTCTAGAAGTTCAAGCAAAGGACTGGACAAGTTCCCATAAGATTGGGTGGTCTGGTCTGAAGCCGCGCACATGCTCGAACGAAAAAGTTAAAAGTGTTTATATTCTATACTACTTACTTATGAATAGGCTAGTCAGACATTTTTCCATAAGATTGGATGGTCTGACTATAACTTATCACCAACTGGAGAAAGTATGAATTAAGAATAAAAATCGTGGTAAGAAGGGACAGACTGAATCTTGATCTAAGATGACCGGTTCAGTCATATGTTGCCGTAAAAGACAAAGTGCATATATCTGGAGTGTATTTTTTGGCTGTGACAGACCTTTCTTTGTTTCGTGGGTGTTTTGCTGGCTTGTGATGGGGTGTGAACCGACAGTCTRTAGAGTTTTCCATCTGGTGTGGGTGAGTGATAGTCTACTTTGATTTTGGTTAAGGTRGATTATCAYTTACAGTGTAATCAGTGAGGGGATTCTRCAGACTGTTGAGGGTTCAGCCTYCTGATGAGTCGGTGAAACTCCGACGAAACAGTTTGTCACAGCCCCTCGTTTATTGTCCTCTTCTCCCTCTCTGCCTACGGTTTACCGGGCAGTTCTATTTGACGATATATATATAACTTTGATACTTAAATGGTTCAGGGCGACTAGGCTGGTTAACCTAGTCATGGGTCCAAAGAAGAGAAAAGTTGTAGTGCCCTGTGTTTGTGTATATTCTATGGCTGAGCTAGACAGGTTCCCATGAGATTGGGTGGTCTAGCTTCATGCCTTATGTAAGTTGGGTATGAAGGGATAAATTATTGAATGATCATGAGTTATTGTTTGATAAGGTTGACTTTGGTTGGTGATAGTATTTATCTTTATGGTTTAACTTGCATGTAACTGAGTGAGATCACTACTTAGTATGAGTTTCAATTGATAGGTAGTTGTTTTAGTTGCTCGCCACGTGCTAGAGCCATAGCATTTAGTTTCAATTCCTGCATTTTCTGAGCTAGGTTTATTTTACTTAGGTCAAATTCTGCATTTTTTTGGATAATTTATTATACTTGGTCTTGTATAAATCTTGGTAAGCTACTTTCTCTACGGAAAGTGCTGCCGAAATTTCTACAAAACCAAGGAGTTAGTCAGATTTTGTTTTTTCAAAGGTCAGTTTGTCTGACTTTTATGGTTTAGTAAAAATTTGGAAAGCCTCCTTTTCTAAAGGGAGTGCTGCCTAAATTTTTGCTAATTTAGGAAGTCATACAAAATTGGACATTAAGTAGTCAAAGTTACGTTAGATTCTGAACTTAGCTTTGGATAAATCTTGGATTAACGCTTTTCTAAAGGGAGTGCTGCCGAAATTTCTACAAAGTTAAAATTTGTCATAGTTGAACTAAGGTCTTGTTTCTAAGTTCATACCTGACTCAGTAAAAATTTGAAAAGGCTTCTTTTCTAAAGGGAGTGCTGCCCAAATTTTTACTAATTCAGAGAGTTGGACAAAATTTGACTTTCGAGAATTAAAGTTTTGTTTTTGTTTTTATATTTTGGGTTATTATAAATTTTGAGGAAACACTTTTCCTACGGGAAACACTGCCGAAAAGTTGGATTATATTTTGACAGGTGGCGACGTTGGTAATCCACCCTGAGTAGTGGAGATGCTGCCAAATGTCTGCCTTGCGTTGGACATTGGCTTAGAGGCAAGCCTAGGCTTAGCTTGTAGAAAGGTCTTGGATGAGAATGTGTTATGGAGCTGTATTCTCCATACACTTATGAATTTAGCTTGGGATTGACATGTCTTGTGTTACAGGTCTTCTTGATCTATTGATTCAAGATTTGGGCTAGATTCAGCTTGATCCTATAAAAATCATCTTCTGTTATCACTGATAACATGTCGGTTGCCTATTCGTCGGCCTACGACTCAACTCCAATTCATCCTCAATACTCAACCTAAAAAGGTTTTAGCCTTGGTGGTTTCTATTGTTTTATTAAGGTTTTCACCCGGACTTTTATTGCATGGCCATTTAACAAAGGTACTGAGTATTTAATTATGGAAGGTTGGACAAAGATTGGGAGAGTGAAGGTCAGGGCATGCTTCTTCGTCATGCCGGATGTGGACCACGACAACCTCCTGGGAAGGTATTTCCTATGCAGGACAAAAACGTTGATGTTTAATAAACAGGACGGAACTTTGATCCTGATCATGTGTGTATCACGACGAGGATTAGACCAACTCCTGCGTGACGCGGTCGAGATGGTCCCACCCCGCTTGTGCGGTGTCGGACCGATGCGCTCGACAACGGAGAAGGAAGAGGAGGAGGAGAAGATACATATGGTGGAGGAGAAAGAGGAAGAGGAGGAGGAGGAGGAGGAGAAGAAGAAGAAGAAGAAGAAGGAGAAGAAAAAGAGGAAGGAGGAGGAGGAGAAGAAGAAGGAGAAAAAAAAGAGGAAGAAGGCGGCGAGGGAGGAGTGGTAGGCGCGTAGGTTAGGGGCATGGGGCATGAGGCATGTTTTTGGTTTTGTTTTTAACTTTAAATCAATCAATCAATCAATCAATCAATCAATCAATCAATCAATCAATCAATCAATCGATGAATCATTCAATGAAGCTACCTGCCAAAGATCGGGTGCAGGTAGTTACCTTGGTTGATGAATTGATTGATTGATTGATTGATTGATTGATTGATTGATTGATTGATTGATTGATTTAAACCACCAGTACCTTCCGAAGGCTTCCTCCGAACCAATTCTTTTGAAAACCACCGAATCTCTTTGTTTCCTGTTGATGAAGCTGGTGAAAAGGAAAGATACAGTGGCAGACCGGTCCTTCAATGAGGGGACCGAAACTGTAACATAGAGTATTTCTTTTTTTTTTCCTTCTTTTAATTTTTTTTTGGGGGGGGGTGGCGGGATTCTTCTTTTTTTCATTTTCTGTTCGTCTTTTTTTTCCCCCCCGACTCTTTTGTAATTCACTATGCACGCCCGCTACTATGAGAAAGGGTCCTCACTCAACCAATCAGCACCAGCACAGAAGGCGACAATCACGGCAAAGAACACTCGTTTTCCTGTAGTACCACAGGCCATGTCATGCACAGCAAGCAAAAATGTTGGCAGCGTATCTTTCCATGTTTTTGTAGAAGGTTCACTCACAATTTGCACATGGTGAGTGATACCGCAAGGCCATTTCTCAATTTATTTGTGGCATCCTTACTTAGGGCCATGTTGATGTTCTATGTACTGGGTCATCTACCAGCTGAATATTCATGTACAAACGACAAAACGTATCCAGCAGTATCTTTTCGTTTTCTTTTATGTTTCTAATTTGTCGACTTCTCGTCATTCTTGCTTCGTGTCAGGGTCATGCTATTCTCTGTATCTGGCCGTCTTCCATCGGAATCTTCATTCCGTTTTTTTGGGAATAGTAAAGCAGCGAGGCCCGTTCGACAAGCAGCCTCGCTGCCGCGAACACCACATGACATTGCACAAACGACAAAATATCAAACTGTATCTTTTTTCCTTTTTTTCCCTTCTAATTTCGACAATTTCTCGATTTCTTTCCGTGTTTCGGTGTTTAGGTATTGAAAATTCACTTCGGGATTTCGGTGTTTCACTTAGGCATTTTGAGTGGTTATATCCCGAAATGGTTTTGGTGTTTCGGTACCGAAAACGCATTTGGGGATTTTAGTGTTTTACTTAGGCAATTTAAGTATCTATATGTCGAAGTGGTTTCGGTGTTTCGGTACAGAAAACGCACTTCGGGATTTCGGTGTTTTACTTAGGCAATTTGATTACTTATATCTCGAAGTGGTTTCGGTGTTTCGATACCGAAAACGCACTTCGGGATTTCGGTGTTTTACTTAGGCAATTTGAGTGCTTATGTCGCAAAGTGCTTTCGGTGTTTAGGTACCGAAAACGCATTTTGAGAGCTAATATCCTGATGTGGTTTCGGTACCGAAAATGCACTTCGGGATTCTGGTGTTTTACGTAGGCATTTTGCGTGCTTATATCCCGAATGATTTCGATGTTTTGATTTCGAAAACGCACTTCGGGATTTCCATGATTTACTTAAGCAATGAGAGTGCTTATATCCTGAAGCGCTTTCGGTGTTTCGGTAGCGAAAACACATTTCGGGATTTCGGTGTTTTACTTAGGTATTTTGAGAGTTATATCCCGAAGTAGTTTCAGTGTTTCGGTACCGAAAGCACTTCAGGATTTCAGTGTTTTACTTAGGAAGTTCGAGTGTTTGTATATGGAAATAGTTTCGGTGCTTCAGTATCGAAAACACACTTCGAGATTTCGATGTTTTCCTTAGACAATTTAAGTGTTTATATGTGGAAGTGGTTTTGGTGTTTTGGTACTAAAAATGCACTTCAGGATTTCAGTGTTTTACTTTGGCAATTTGAGTGTTTTTATCCCGAAGTGGTTTCGGTGTTTCAGTACCAAAAACTCACTTAGGGATCTCGGTGTTTTGCTTATTTATTTTGCGAAGTTATGTCTTGAAGTGCTTTCAGAAGTTTCAGTATTCCGGTACCGAAAACACACTTTGGGATTTCGGTGTTTAATACATCATATCTCGAAGTGTTTTCGGTGTTTCGGTACTGAAAACGCACTTCGGGATTTCGATGTTAGTCGTTTTTAAGATGTCATATCTTTGAATTGTTTCGGTGTTTCGGTACCGAAAATATACTTTGGGATTTTAGTGTTTTACCCGGGCATTTTTCGAAGTCATATCCCGAAGTGCTTCGGTGTTTCGGTACCAAAACTGTAGTTCTGGATTTCGGTGTTTTATTTAGGCATTTTGCGAAGTTACATCTCGAAGTGCTTTCGGTGTTTCAGCACCGAAAACGCACTTCAAGATTTCGGTGTCTTACTTAGTATTTTTTGCGAAGTCATATCTCAATTCCTGAAGTGTTTTCGGTGTTTCGCTATAAAAAACACACTTCGGGATTTCGGTGTTTTACTTAGTATGTTTTTGCAAGTCATATCTCGAAGTGCTTTAAGTGCTTCGCTACCGAAAATGCACTTCGGGATTTCGGTGTTTTACTTTTTTTTTTTGCGAAGTCATATCCCGAAGTGCTCTTGATGTTTCGGTACCGAATACGTGCTTCGCAATCTCGGTGTTTTACTTAGGTGTTTTGTGAAGTCATATCCCGACGTGTTTTTGGTGTTTCGGTACCGAAAATACACTTCAGGATTTCAGTGTTTTACTTAGTTTTTTTGCGGAATCATTTACCAAAGTACTTTCGGTGTTTCGGTACTGAAAACGCACTTCAGGATATGATCTCACAAATTGGATCCGGACTTGACTCACACAATCATCATCACACACGTCACACAGCAAGGAGGGGAATCATATACAAGACGAAAGGTTCTTCCATGCGCACACATATGGGGAAGTAACCACAAATGACAAAAAGGGAGGAGAAACGAAAATGGAGAGAAAGAGAGAGAGAGAGAGAGAGAGAGAGAGAGAGAGAGAGAGAGAGAGAGAGAGAGAGAGAGAGAGAGAGAGAGAGAGGGAAAATAAAACAAAAAAGAATAGAGAGCCACGTACGAAAAAGTAAATAGGAGACATGCACCACCTTACACCAAACGCAGACGCACATGTATCCCGATTATCATCCGCATTATACAACATACATCCAAGTACGCATGTGCCCCTACGTGTTTCACCGTTCGCATACTTCAACGGACTCATCAGGGGGCAAACTTCCCCACTCCTTCGATCATGTTAGAACCGAGATACCTTTTGCGTCATTTTTCCCTCCTTATATACTTCTTCATGCGTTTCCTATTCCTACAGTTCTACTTCCTTCTAATCGGACTCCATCTCGCCATCCAAATATTGCATATCTCCTAACCCGCTCGTTTGTCTAATCGGGCGCTAGAATTCCCGCCCTTTTTTTCTTTTCTAATTTTTCTTTTTCTTTTTGTTCGTTTTTTCCTTCCCTTTCCTTCCCTCCATCTTTTCCCTTTCTCTCTCTTTCCTTCTTCCTCTTTTTTCCCACTCTTCTGACTATCTCGACCTCTCTCCCTCCTTCCTCCCGTATTTTTCCCCATCCGTTTAAACTCCTCCCCACACATGGTCTCTTCCTTGCCAATCATCGCTGCTCTCGGTACTCAATCCGTTCGGTCCATCTCATAGCGTGTCCGCCTTTCCTTTGTCCAAAAGGACCTCCCTAAAAAACCTGCGCCGTCTATCTCCGCCGTCCCTGCGCTTTTTTTTTCCATCATATACGCGTGTCATTTTTGTCCCCATCCTCCATTCCCAGCCTTTCTATACTTAGATCTGACGCTGTCATTCCTGACTCTGACTTTCCTTCCTCATACGACTCCCCTGCCTACCCACCCTCCGTCCACCCGACCCTGTGCATCCCCTCCCCCATTCCCTTCGTGTGTAGTGGTGCGCCCAGAAGAACTCAAAAACCTCGTACTCCCTGCATCTACTTCTTCCTACGCTCATCCTAACTCATTGTTCGTCGGTACCTCGTCTCCCGACAGCCTCCCCCTACAGCAAAAACAAACCTTATCACTCTACTATTCTGACGGTTTCACCGTTTAGTGCTACATGCCGACCGCATACATCCTCGGAACTACACAGCACCTCGCGGGCCTATTTTATACCCCCCTCGGGGTCATGAATCTGATCAGTCCAGGGTACTCAGCGGGGAGATAAACCCCCCACAGACCACCGAACAACCTAGCGAACCTCGTTGGGGCCCTGAGAGAGACCTCCGACGGGTATCCCCTGAGGTGTGTTTCCATCATCAGAGCTGCGATCGCGACCTTTATCACTTCATCGGAGCTAGAAATGCATTACATCCTGACCAACGCAGCATACACGGTTGCCTTCTTCGATGCCTTCCTTGTGAACGTAGCAAAATCCTGCATGGACTGTATCCTTAACTTCCCTTCCTCAAGCCACCATACATCCATCCAGTACTGCCACATCATCAATCATTCTTATGCCCCTTACAAGTACCCCCAACGCTCTCATGCGCTCTAGAAAGGTTGATTCCGCCCTGGCACACACCAAGCATGCCAGTGCTGGACTAGAATTCCGACCCATGGGAATTCCAAACTTTTGTCTCAACACAAAACGCGCCCATCGAACATACGATTGGGAGAGTTCAAATGTCACATCCCTCCTAATATCCTCAAACAGAAGTGTGACGAATCCTTCCTCCTTCCGTACTCTCTTCACCATTGCACACAACTTCCCTCTCTGACTCAATCGTACACCTTTCATTCCTCTCTTCTCATGACACCTTATCACCCAGTCTACTGCTTCTAAAACCCTCTCATGCGAGAGTCGTGCGAATATATCCTTGATGTCGTAACTTCTGGCGAGAGCACCATCCCCTTTTGCACCCAAATCATGTTGAATCTCCTCACATTGCTTCCTCAGCTTATCCATAGACTTAAACCACCAGTACACCGCCTAGGAAAAAAAAAATTGCCTTCCTGAATTCAAGGAAGAGCTTTGCAGGGTCGGTAGAGGCTGGGTAGAGCATCGACAGAGGCAAGGGGTTTGTCCGTTTTAAAAACGAGAAG